CCGAGCATGGTCATGTGAACAAAACTAGCTTAATAACTAAAATTACTCAAAATTTGTAGATTTCCCCCTTTTCTATTAACTGCCTCCCAAATGTAAAATATGTTAATGTTGAATTTATAATTTGTGTTTGAGCACTAAATTCTGATCTTACATCATCAGCATCCAAACTAAGAATATTTATGTTATTTGAATGTGCAAAATCTAATATAGTACAAAGAATATTAAAAATTTGTCCTGCAGATTCATCACCTTTTATAAGTAAGATAGCAATTACCATTAGAGGTATTTTTCCAATTGGAATCTAGTATATTAACTAATATTAGAATAATATAAACATTAAAATTATTATTAATTAAAAAAAAAGAGTTTAAAAATACCTTAAGAACAATAACCTAAACTTGTGTTGCAATTGCATTATTTTTATAAATATAACAAATTTTTTCATGAATTTCATTAATATTAAAAACTGAAACTTCACTTAAAGGTAAAGTAGATCCTATAATATAACCAAGTTCTTGAGAATAAACTAGCTTAGATCAGATCTTTGTACAATCAGTCATTAATAAAATTAGTCCTTTCTATTTTAGTTTTTTTGATATACGAGCAAATTTTGTCACATTTTCCAGAATTAAATTAGGATCTATGATTAATTTTGTATTTGAAATACGTATTTGTTTAAATAAATTTTTATAAATTAAATAAATTTTAAATAATTATAATAATAATCAAAAATATATATATATATATACCGAATTCTCTGAATAGACATTCCACCTAATATTTTACGTAAAACTTCATATTCATGACTGCTTTCTGATAGCAAGCTAAAGAAGTGTATAAGATGTTCAGAATATCGCAACCCTTTCATGCTAGTATCTGCTTCTTCTTTTGTCTTAATTTGTAACATTAAAGAAGCCAATTCTGTAAATGTTTTTTCACTTTTAAAAATGCCATTTATCCCTATTTGAGCTAAAGAGGATCATATTACAATATCATTGCTATTGGTAATTATACAAGTCCAAAGATTTCTAAGATTTTAATTTTTCATAAGGTTAATCAAATGGATGTTGAAATAAAATTTTAGTATAAATTTGATTGTTGATGGTGTTGTCCATCTCTTTATACAAAAAAAAAATTAGTTTCAATTATTAATTAGTAAATAAAATCTAAATTCAATAAACTTACAGATTTTAAAGCATCTTTTAATCTGCTATTCTTTTTCAAATTAATGCATTCATCACATAAACCTGATAAATTTTTTGTCATAATCGTACATTTTATACTTTATATTACTTCTTCAAATTGATCTATTTTTCAAGTAGATGTTGCTTATAATGCAATATTAAATTTCTGAATTTGATCTTTATTTAATTTCTTATGAGAAAAAGAAATATTTTGAGGAAACTTCTTAGGAAAAAGTCTTTTTCCAACTATTTCAGATCTTTTTTCACCACCATAATTAAATAGAAAATTAGTAGTATAGTTTGTATACAAATTACTAAATAAACTAATATAAAGTAAATATTCATGTGATTCAGTTTCCTCTTCCTTTGTATTTTGATTTTAATCAAAGAAAAGGTATAAACTTTGTTGTTTTTCAGTACTAAGAATACAGTTTTTGCTTTTAATGTATCATTTAAAATTTGTTATCCTAAATGGATAGTCTAGCTAAACTGCAACTTCACACTTATAACACAGTTTTTTCATCAATGATTTTATCAAAATTTTTTATAGATCGAAAATGAGCAATATGATAATCATTTAATTTCTGATAAATTATGGCATTGTAAAAAATTTGAAAATAAAAGAGTAATAGTAAAAAAGATTTAAAAGCTAAATGCGTTGTTAAATTTTATTTTATGCGTCTCCATTTTTTTTCATTGCTTATAAAATGTTAAATAATTTTTATGAAATGTCAAATAATTAAACTAAATTAAGATAAAAAAAGAACTTCTAATTTTAAAAGTACTATCTCTATATATATAAATCAATCTTACATGCATATGTTTGCAAATTATACTATATATGGTAACCTTTTGCGAATCATCTGATAACAGTAACATAATTTAGCATGAACCACAAAATACTGTGACTTTGTACTATATCATATGAATGCGAATCATGTAAATCTAATAACATTTTTTCAAAATATATAAGATTCTGAACCAATATTTCTGGTGATCTCTATTAGAAGTTTTTCCAGTCCTGGATCAGCCTTATAAGTGAAAAAAATCAGCTGATTTCTGATGCATCCCTTATTTAAATCTAACATAATATATTTAATTATTTTATTTCTTAAATATATCTAATAAATTTTAATTTACATTATTACATTTATAAAAAAATAATTTTCTAATTAGTTTAAAATATTAATTAACATTTCTATAATAAATACAATCAATAAAAAAATTAATCAATAATAAAATAATAAATATAATTATATAATTTAAACTAAATACAAATTTAACATATAATAATAATTCATATAATATTTTTTATTTTTTATAAAAACAATAAAAATAAATTAAAATATAATAAATCATTAATTATTTATTAATTTTATTTTTTTTATATTATACAAAAAATATTTCAAATTTTTTTTTAACATAAATATTAAAACTTTTTTAAATTATTAAAATTTTAAAACAAATTTTATAATATAAAAACTTTTAAACTTTATTATTATAATATATTATTTTTAAACAAATTCTTTTAAAAACTAAAATTATTTTAAATTATTTTTTTATAAATAATTATTTAACATTCCAAAAAATCAAATAGTAAGCAAAAATTTTTTTTACTAAATATAACACCATTTTCTAAAAAAAATACTTTAAACTATATAAATAATACCTAATTCAAATTGATTTACAATAATCATAAGATAGTTTACTTATAAATACTATACTACTATCATTTTTTATCATTTAATAATAAACAATCATTATATTATCACATAAATTATATGATCACCGGTAGGTACTCGAAAAAAATTACTCGCTAGTTTAGAGTTTAAAAATCATCAGATTATTATCTATTTAATTATAATGATGATTTTCAGGTTTAGTTAGACCAATCTTACGAATTCTCAAGACCAAATCCTTAAAGAAAAAGAATCACGAAATTATTATCTCTAATACAGTAATTCGGTTCTAATAAATATATCATAATAACATCTTCATAGAAGGCAGTCAATATGTTGTTTATATTTGAGACTGAGAAACTTCTAATAAAGCTACCATTAATAATCTGGTTCGAACTAAAGTACTTCATTAAAATCGGTGGAGTAACCTTTATTAGAGATCCTTTTAAATTAATCGTTTATCCGTTATTTTTGTGAAATTCCTTAATTTTTGTTCCTTTTAAAATGATTTATAATCAAAATTTTTGATCTTTTCATAAAATACTTATTCTATAATGAAAAAAAACAACACATTTTATTTACGTAACAAAAAATAATTAAGGATGTAACATTAAATAAGATTTTACACATCCCACGAGTACGAAAGGCAGTTATATATGAAGTTATGCAAAATTTATGAACGTCGAGATTAGCTTTTTACGAATAATGTCATTTTTTTTTACCATCATACCTCACATCAATTATACAGTCAGGTGCGCCCTTAATATTGTGTACATCATGTAAACCCTTGCACACAGTCTTAATTTTATAAAAAATCCTCTAAATACATTTCATTGATTATCCTAAGGATTCAATAGGTTATCAGACTTGGAAGTATCATTCGTGATAACTGAAAAATACTGATAATGTATTGATTTTGAAAATTTTATTTTAATAACCCTTAAAGAGATCATTAAAGAGAATAAAATTTGTTTATTATATTAATTATTCTTTATTTTTTTATTATTTTTTATTCTTAAATGGATTTTAAATCCTTCAATTAATAAATAATTCATGGTATAGTTAAAATTCCATTGGTAAAATAATTCTTATGCAAACATATTACGGAATAATAAAGGTGGAAACTGGTAAGAATTAAAAAATAATAAAAGAGGATAATACGTTGCATTCAATTAATTCAATTAAAAGTATTTTTTCTTTTTTCTTTTTTTTTGAAAATCCTTTCTTTTTTTTATAAAATTTACTCCTGAATATGCCGATAGGGGGTACGTTAAAACATATCTAGATGAATATTTTAATGAACTTGAATAGAAGGATAAATATTCCAATTGGCAAGCGCTTACACAAAATATGATATTATTTATCATGATCTGTTAATATATTATTCTCTTTTTTTTTGTAAATTACTATAAATCGAGATTAATTTCCTTTCCTTAATGTGTAATTGAAGAATTTGGACAATATACTATATATCAAACTTTGGTTTATCAAAAAAAAAATAGCAAAAGTAAATTTGAACGGAACCATCAACTCATTTATAAAGATTTGATTTTCTATTTATGATTTATACATCATGTCTCGCACTCCAGTCTCGCAAATCAATAAAAAAAAATCATCAAAATTAATACAATTTTTTGCTTTGTTTGACCTCGCGTTTAAAAGTTTTTTATTTAAAATGTAATATAATATTTTTTATTTTTTCCTCACTATTGGTAAATATAAAGTACTCCTTAAGGAGCTCGTAATTTCTTTAATTCAGTTAAACAAATATTCTTGCGTATTCATTTGAAAAGATTTTCTTAAACAAAATACTTCAGCCCTACTACGAGACTGTAGTAGAAAGCTGGTACCCATAGGCTTACAAAATGTAAGCGTTTATGCTTCTTCTCACGCATAGTACTATGCCGTTCTGATAATACCCAACCAGCCCTACCATAAGTCTGCCAGAAACTGGATACCCACAGGCTTACCAAAGATAAGCATATCACGCCTCCACCTATGCGTAACATCATGCTGCCCCATAATATCTAAAAACAACAAAAAAGCAAATAAAAGAGAGACATACTTACGATAAAACAAAAAAAAATGACTTAACCAAAAAAATATAACAAACAAACAATAAAAATGCATAACATACCTCATTCTTGTCCAACGCTAAAAAACAAACAAACAAAAATAAAAGGAATGGCTTACCTTTCTAACCCGCCTATCAAAAAATAAAACAAACAAATAATAAATACAAATAAAGAAATAACATACCTTTAGGGTTGTTAAAGTTAGTCTTAGTCTGGTCCTAGTCCTGAGACCTATAAGTCTTATTATACAGACCTACAGACCGGG